TGCAGTAAATACACTTCACCCTACAGTAGCAGAAGTCCAAGAATGTATTACACGGTGCTCAGCACTCGAGGCATGCACATAACTGTTTCTCTGTGTCCATATCAAACATGGGCAGCTGGCCAGACAACGTGCAAATAGCTATAAATGTGCCACTCAGACAGACTTTCCTTTTTGCTAAAGCATATAGTTAGGGCTGGACCAGGTGACCCTGAATCCTCCCTTAGTTATGCTGCAATAGACATAGGCTGCCGGGGGATTCCCATGATGCATTGAGTTTTTCCTTTCCAGTCACCTTTCTCACTCACTATGTATTAACAGACCTCTCTGCATTAAATCATATCTGTTATTAACCTCTGTCTCTCTTCCACAGCATGTCTTTTATCCTGTCTTCCTTCTCTCACCCCAACCGGTCGCAGCAGATGGCCGCCCCTCCCTGAGCCTGGTTCTGCCGGAGGTTTCTTCCTGTTAAAAGGGAGTTTTTCCTTCCCACTGTTGCCAAAGTGCTTGCTCATAGGGGGTCATATGATTGTTGGGTTTTTTTTCTCTGTATCTATGAAGCGCCTTGAGGCGACTTATGTTGTGATTTGGCGCTATATAAATAAAATTGAATTGAATTGAATTGACTTTATCTCATGTGATATGGAGCAGGAGGAGTTGAGACTGTTTAAACAAACTGGAGTACAAAATTATAGGTTAGCTAAATTCTTGCCCCCTGAAGCTAAAAATGACATTAACTGTCAAAGAAACCTGCAGGTGTTTGCATCAGATTGTTATGTAACCCTTCAGTCAGTTAGAGCAAAGGAGAAAATATGCTTTCTAATTTTGTACAGTGGCAATTAGTCTATTTTCTCTTAGGAGAGGATATAATATCTGCTGTCAAGGCCAAAATAAATGTCGCCAATAAACAGTCCAAGGAGGGTAGATGCACTATATTGCCGAAAATATTTGGTACTTGCTTTCACATGAATACCTGAGTGAACTTGAGTGGCAACCCCTTCTTAGCCCATAGGGTTTAATATGAATTCGACCCACCCCTTGCAGCTATAACAGCCTCAACTTTTCTGAGAAGGCTTTCCAAAAGGTTTAGCATGAGAAGGCCTGGCTCGGAGTCTCCACTCCAATTCATCCCAAAGGCGTTCCATTGGGTTGAGGTCAGGACTCATTGCAGGGCAATCAAGTTCTTCCACATTAAACTTGCTCATCCATGTCTTTTATGGAACTTGCTTTGTGCACTGGTACAAAGTCATGTTGGAACAGGAAGGGTCCAACCCCCAACTGTTCTCACAAAGCTGGGAGCATGAAACTGTCAGAAATGTCTTGGTTTGCTGAAGCATTAAGAGTTCCTTTCACTGTAACTACGGGGCTGAGCCCAACTCCTGACAAAGAACCCTAAACCATAATCCCCCCTCCACTAAACTTTAGAGTTAGCACAGTGCAGTCAGGCAAGTCCTGTTCTCCTGGCAACCACCAAACCCAGACTCGTCCATCAGAATCCCAGACGGGGAAGTGTGAGAAGGGCTGTCAGTGGTTCCTGAAAGTTTTCTGGATAGGTACAAAAGAATTGTTGCACCAAAAACCTCCCAGTGCTTGCTTGCAGATTGCCATGGCTGCCTTCAAACTTGAAAACAAGCTAGCAAACTGGAAATGGAGAAGGTTCTCCTTTAAAGTAAAAGGTCTGTCACATGTTTCAAGATGTGCAACTTCTACTTTCAACCTTGAACCTTTTCCATTTCACAGTTTCACTACATCTCAAAGAGTAGTTGGAGAGTGTTTGTAAACAAGTCCGTCACTTTCAATCAAACTAGGACTGCAGAAATATGCTAGGGGTTGCCAGGTGTGTCACTCAATGGTCTGGTCTTTAGGACTTTAGCAATCATTTACCTTGTAAGTGTCATCAACCTCCAGTAACTACTCAACATATCACATGCCTGTGAAACCTCATTAATTAAGTCTAATATAGTCTAATATTAGCAATGATTGTCTAAAATGGTCATTAATGGAAAGGTAGTGTGATGTTGTTTTCTATAAATGTAAATGATTTTGTCTCCTGCGAACAGTATAAATTTTAATATGGAGCATAATTTGATGAGAAGTGAACTCCATTAACTGACCACAATCTACAAATGAACAGCATGCTTTATTCTGCATCACCTGAAAGTAGCAAAATGAAAAAAGCAATCATCAGGAAAGTGTTTACGTTGGACACAGAGCAAAAGAGTCAAGAGCCAACATCTTATAGACTTCTATGAAACATTTTTCAACCAGAGGAGTTGCCCCCTTCTGGCCATTAAAATGAATGCAAGTTTAAGGTGCTTCACTTTTTAAACGCAAAAGGTAAAAGCTAAAACACTAAGGATGAAGCTTTAAAAACAGAACTTTGCAAATTTATTGTGGACGTCAGGTCGGCTACATCTATATTTTATATATTTTATATAGCTGTGGTGTTGCTGTTTTTTTTTTTTAACTTGGCACATGCTTAACCCTTTTCTGTGCAATACAATACCACTGTACTATTTTCTGTGTCTTTTACGTTTGTGTGAGCTGGGAACTCAACATAATAAGTAAGACCATCTGAACTCATCATTTTTCATGGGCAAAATGCACAAACCCCAAAATATTAACTGGATAGTCAGTGATAATTTTCAGTCTTAAATATATTTTGTTGATGCTTGTTAAAGTACTTCTATTGTACTAAATTCCACTTTGAACCAAAATTATTTTATAATAGCCGAACAGGATCTTTAAATCTTTGTTATTGTATTCACTAGATAGTTATTGCTTAATGTGTACCAGTTTCTGTAAGCAGTATCAGCACACAACAGCACACTGCATCCACAGAAGATGAACGAGAAGAGAGAAACAAATAAGCTCAGTTGTATTGCAGAGATCCTCAGTCGATGTAAGGGGTTGCCAAGTGTGTTTTATTGGCATGCTCATCCATCAAAAGGCCAACACAAGCTGAATCTAAGGTCAAAGGGATGCTTCTTGGAAGGAGATAGACAGCTTTTAATGATTTAAACAAGAGACAATAATTTTGTTAAAGGTCAGCGACCAACAGATTCATGGATCTGTTTTTCTACTGTCATTTCAAGATCATTTTTACAGGACAAGGATGGTGGAGTATTGTTATTAATGCTAAAATGTCCTTTAAAGGCAATAAAGAGCTGTGAGGAGTGACGTTTTGTGTGTTTAAAAGGGGGAGAAAACAGAAAAGCTGACTTCTGTTGTTCCATTTTTAAGTCTCCACTGGCTGCCTACACTCCTCTTACATTCATCAGCCAATAATATATTTGATATAATGGATGGTGCCAAATTGGAGAGAAAAATGTGTCAAAGCCAAAATAGGTAAATAAATAAATAAAAACAGCATGCGGTAGAAGGCTGGTGTTAATTTCATTCCTTAATTATCCAGGCTTAATTAGCCTGGAGTGGGAGCATATGGCATTTATTTTAAGAGCTTCTGACCAAGTAATGCACCGCTCTTCATGGTGGAAAACCCTTCTTATGTAACAAGAATGTAAAGCATGCATTGCGGTCGAAACAAACAGTGGAAACAGAGTTTAATTTGAACACTAATCCCACCATGATACACAGGACAATTATTTAGGATGACATCATGGGAATAAAGTTTATTTTTAAGTAATAAAATTTATGGAATGAAAACAAAAAAAAAAAGAAATGTTTTGTGTATTTTATCTATTCAGGCATGTGCTTGTACTGTATGACGGGAACAAGGGATATAAATTTACTGCAGAAGGCTTCTAAATAAAATGGACTATACTTTCTAAGAGGTTTGAATAGGCTGAGGCTGACAGAACACAAACAGAAAAAAGCAGAGGGCTGTCCTCTTCAGAATATACAATACTCTGTAAAAGTCTTGATTTACCCTCATATTTTGCTTTTAGTCCAGTCTATTTTCAGAGGAATATATATTTTTTGGTAAGCCATAAAACTGACTGGAGAAATGATTCAAGTATAAATCTAACTTAAAGGATGAGCCAATGCTGAGTGTCCAAATAATACAACTTAGCAAAGAACCAATTTTGAATGACACGGGACCTGAGAGACGTCATCTGGGCCTTCAGCTGATCCATCATCAGTAGCAACAGGTCTTATGGAGTAAATACAAGTTTAAATTTTTGGCTCAAATCATCATCATTATGTACAGAGGATGTCAGGAGAGTGGTACCACAGTGAGTGTCTGCAGTAATGTGTAAAAGACAGTGGAGGCTCTGTCATGTTTGGCAATTTTGTCAAAATTGATGAATTATGAATACAGAAAAGTGCCATCAGATTTTGATCCACCATGCAGTACCATTTGGAAAACTGATCTGATTGGTAACCGCATCATTTTTCAGATTGACAATGACACCAAACACACTGCTAATGTAGTAAAAGCCTACCTGGATAGAAAAACACACTATCAGTCATCGATTGGCCTCCCCAGAGCCCGGACCTCAACATTATTGAAGCAGTGTGGGATCATGTTGACAGAGAACAGAACAAAACATCCAAAGAAGAGCTTTGAATGTCCTTCAAGAAGCCTGGAGAAATATTCCTGAAGACTACTTAAAGACATGACAAGAAAGCTGTTCAGGCTGTGCTGAAGAATTAAGGTGGTCAAAGCAAATATTGACTTTCAAGCTCATTAGAAGTGTACAAACAATGTCCTTGACTTCACGCACACTGAACCAGACTTCCTGCACACTTACTTATTACAAGTTAACGCTGTAGGTGAGACAACACATACCTACAACCGCTGCACAAATATTTCATGAAATTATTGTTCTTAAATGTTGCAAACATCTTTGTGGCTAAAACTTTGTGGGGTTTTTTTTTTTTAAACTCTGAACAGAATCTTCTATTTAAGCTTTGGGTCTTAATCAAATTTGCTGTAATCTAGTCTTTAGCTCATAAAAATCCACCTCTCAGCAACATCTCTGAGCTTTGTTGAACAGCTGTTCAAATAATGCAAAAGACCCACAAAGACACAACTCAGATGTGAAAAGTGTAGAGTTATAAAGTTCTGGGGTTTCTCAGAGGCTGATTCAATTCAGTCTGATGTGATTTCATCTTCTGAAAAGGCAGCTTCATTGTTTAATTACTTTCGCGTTATGGTTGAAGTAGCACAGTCACGCCCTTGTTAACCCGACAGTGGGACTGTCGCCTCAGAACCGTCAAGTGCCCCAGTCAGGCAGAAGCTGGGACAGGGTGTACCAAAGCAGCACTGCCACACTGACAGTTACAGTGGACATTTGGCTTGTGTTTTGCTCGGGTTACTGTTGTGGATGAACTGATTCACTAACACCACCTGACCTAAAATCCCATCCCACGCCCCTGCTGATGCTGAGCCACAAGACACGGTCCTTTCATTTCCATATTTATGCTTTTCATCTGAGAAAAGGGAAAAAACAAGAAAAGAAAACTTGCACATGTCAAGGAACACATTCAGCAATAACTCTTGTATAAATATCTGGCATAAAGCAAGAAAGCCAAACAGATAAAGTCAGGCATTCAGTGGTCACGGCTGCCCCCTGTTGTTTAACTTCAGTAACAAGAATGCTCCTTCCTTGTTAAACTAACACACTCATAATAACAACTGGTGTACATTTATCTCAATAACAGAACAATTAACCCACATTAATCTAACACTACAGTTCGATGACCACTGACTGCTTATGGTTGTGATGACTGTTGCTGACTCCTGAGCTCGGCTAGCTGTCTCCTCATGTGGTAGATATCATCAGACATTTGCCTAAGGGAAAGTAGGCACAACTTAGTAGCCTTTAGTATTTAGAAGCAGGACATCAATCATCTCTGTTCTGGCATTTAGAGCTATTTGTAGCATGTCTACTGTCACATGTTTATAGTATTTCTACCTGTGGTTGGCTTGTGCCCTGCTCAGCTGGCAGCGTAGGCGCTTCATGATGGCTTCATAGCGCCTGTTCTGGATCTGAGGAAGGGGGAAAAGTGATGTTGTTGATGCTTTCTTTCAGACTGAAACATAACTCATGTCTTGATACAAATTCTATCTAGGTGATTTAGCGGTTTTATGAACAAATGTCAGCCTCATAAGATGTCCCTGGTTTCTGTTGGGTAAGTCTGCACACCTCTATGTCTTTCTTTATTTGGCCATGAATCTCAGACTCTTTTTGGAGCCGGTGTCTCTTCTCAGATATGGTCTTCATCTTCAGGGAGACCTCCTCTTTCAGAGCTTTAATCTCTCTCTGCACACATGAGCATATAATAGTTATGGATACTGAAGATCTCTGAAAAAGATCCCTATGATTAAAATGAAGAGACCACCTTTGCCATCTGCACTGTGTTTCCATTTGGATTGTTCAAATCTTCCTTCAGCTCCTCGTTTTGCTTTCTCAGCATCTGTACTAGTTCTTTCTTCTCCTTCAGCTCGTTATGGGCCTTTGTCTGGCTCACTGCATGCAAAACAGCTGCCCTGTGGCCTTCCATCTTACTTCGGTAAGCGTTGAACCCTGCAAGCGCCACTAGTGCAATCTCCTCCTCCTCACCTATCAGAATCTGGAGTTCTGTGTTTTCCTTGCTGATGGATACACAGCGATCATGAAGGAGTTTGGTCTGCTGCTCCAGCTGCTCCATCTCACTTTCCAGCACTAGGATTTCTCTCACTTTTGATCTCAGGTCCTTGTCTATGCCCTCGTTTTTCCTCTCAAGCTCTGACAGAGTTGCCTGGAAAATAAGGCAAACCAAAAAGTCCAATTAAGTCATAAAGAAAGCCACAAACTATGCAAATAAATGTTTACTTCACTTTCTAGACAATTTTCTCTCATTGTGTTTTTTAATTATATTTTGTGACTCTTTTTGATCATTTGACACCTCTTTGTGGTGGATTTGAGGCACATTTTGGTTAATTAGGTCTCTTTATGTAACATTTTATGACTTAGTTACTCTGACGGTTATATTTGCATCATTATACATATAGTATAGTTCTGGGACAAGACAACGGATTTTCCTGGCTCTTTGGGTGCACAGAACTGTGCTCAGTAGGCTGAGTGATGTGTCCATGGTAAAAAAAAAAAAAATCTAGCTAATATGCCATCATTTTGTATTATGATAGCCACTTTATATGTTATACTATGTTATTACCATTGTACAAAGCAGGAATGGGCAATTAATTTTTCCGAAGGGCCACATAAGAAAGCGGGACTGTGGAGGAGCAGGTCAAAAAGCTTGTAAAAAAGCTAAAATAAAAAAATTGCTCATTTGGCCCCTTCAGAAAAATAATTGCCCAATGTGTTTTGCATTTAGTTAATCAGTGTTGTAGGGGAATAGGGTTAGAGATGAACCTGCAGGGTACTGAGTGTCCTCTGTTTCTCTTTCAGGGCCTCTTTCTGGGTATAGCCATGTTGACTCACATTCTCCACTGCCTTGGTTAACGAAAACCCAGGCGGTCCTGGAAATCATGAGAATCACTTTGTGAAAGTCTATAAAATAACTACCTGGCTGCCAATTTAGCCAAATTTTCATTTTCATTGGCAAAGTTTAAGCCAAGGGGTTATTTATTTCTTTAAAATGGACGCCACTGATCACGTAAAACAATAAAATATTAGGCCTTTAAAGGTAGCAAACACCAACTTCTTTACTTACTCTGAGCTAACATTAATTAGCTATGTAGCTTATGCTAGACTAACAAAGCTAACATCAGCTCGATTTATTTATTTGTTACAGTTTAAGTTATGTACAGTTGCTTAAACAATTAAGCAGACATATATTTACTTTCCTGTATTGCCAAAAACAAACAAAACATCTTACCATCCTCACTGACCCCAAAGTTTGGCATATTGACTTGCTAGCTTATAATTTTCTATACTGTTTATGTCTGATAGTTAGCAATGACAGCATGCCATTTTTATCCTTGGGTTTCAAGTAACCCTAGAAAAATGTGAAATCAACTAACTTAAAAAGATTAAATAAACAAAGCTAATATGGTGTTAAGTTAATATGTTTATTTACAATATAAACGAAAGTATTTATTTAGTTTACTTTTTATTAATTTATTTGCAAGGGAATCAATAAAAGTACAGTTAGAAAAATGAGCAGCGGGATGTAACCTAACCATTGATACAATACGACTACGATTCCCACAGTTCACTTTTTCTCCACGTCAAACTATATCCGGTCTCTCTTACAGCCAGCAGCAGTCTCGCATGTAAACACAAAAATAAAACTAGCGAGCATTATTTTACTTCACTTGTCACCGCCTAAATTTAGTCAAATGCTTGTCAGGCGTTGCCTCAGACTGTGCTCTTTGTGTACCCGTGTAGTTTACAGCAGCGGAGTAAGAAGAGGAGGATGGAGGACACTTGTGGGACACGCCAGTGTGAAACATGCTAACAGGACAGACGTGCCACACTGGGGCAGAGTAATGTTTAAACGCTTCTTTCACAGTGATCTGGGGGAGCTGTACAAGAACGAGTCAGTTCAGGTGTATCTCGAGCAGCTCATGGAGGAGCACAGAGACCTGAGCAAGAAGCTACAGCATGCATACCTCAGTGAGTCAGACAGAAAGGGGCTCACAAAGAAGCACACTGAGCTGCTGCCTCTGGCAAGTGTGTTTAGGAGCATTGAACAAGCTCAGAAAGACCTCGAAGAGGTCAGTTCACTTCTAAAAGGTGAGTAGGATTTTTTAAGCTTACTATATATACATGTAATGGCTTTATAAACACACCTCTCAAACCACAGAAAACCATCAAACGTGTTTCTCAGGTGTCCAATCTCCAGAGGTCTTCTAACTATTTAAATACCACATGTATTTGCTGCTTTGTGTGAGCACAGTTTTACTTTGCATTCTTAAATACAATAAATAAAATTATTTTCCTTACTCATGGCAGGTTTAGCTGGCACCAAAGATGAAGATGAAGATCTGACCCAGCTGCTAAAAGAGGAGGAAGCACAAATCTCCAGCAAGATTTTGGCTTTAAGAAGAGACGTAAGAACCCAAAAGACACAGCTAATTAATGCAGAAGTGTGTGACGGACCATTGTTTCTTCATGAGGTTTTCTCTTTACCGCAGCTAATCAAAGCTCTTATCCCCACTGATCCTCTTGACTCGAGTAATGTTCTGCTGGAGGTCGTATCAGGGCGGACAACAGGAGGTATGAAGGAAAGCAAAACTCTGAATTTGTTTTTATAAATTCAAAATACAATTCACAGTAAAATACTGCAAATAAGCGTTATTATGGAAAATAAGTGTCATACTTTCTCATGTGTGGTTTCAGGTGACATTTGTCAGCAGTTCACCAAAGAAATGTTTGACATGTACCAGGGTTTTGCATTTTACAAAAACTGGGACTTTGAGGTGTTGAACTACACACCTGCAGAGTATGGTAAGGTAATTTTTGTATTTCTGTATCATTCATCAATAGTTCCTGCTGTATTCCCCCCCCCGAGTGTCTTTGTTATTAGTTCCAACTCACTCATCATGGGATTGAATGACTATGTGTGGATTAGAGTAGAAATTTAAACTTGTGGTGATCAGTGGACATAAACCTCCTACCAAAACATTTACAGCTGCATGAACGGTGTCTCTCAGGTGGTCTGCACCATGCAGCAGCGAGAATAGCTGGAGAGAACGTGTACAGGCACCTGAAGCACGAAGGAGGAACTCACCGGGTTCAAAGGATCCCTGAGGTGGGGCTCTCCTCCAGGATGCAGCGAATCCACACAGGAACCGTGACTGTCATCATCCTGCCTCAGCCAGTTGAGGTACACTGCGTTTTTTTCTTTTTATGACTTCTCTTTGTTTACTGGAATAGTTAAACAGTACATCTCTGTTTTTATCTTTGGTGCTTGCAGTTTGAAGTCCACATCGATCCAAAGGATCTTCGAATCGACACGTTCAGATCTCGTGGTCCTGGGGGGCAAAGTGTTAACACAACAGACAGCGCAGTGCGCGTAGTTCATCTTCCGACAGGTAAACTGTACCACCATGCCGTTTTGCTTCCTCAAAGATTGTATAAAATATGTAGCCACTGTGATGTGCTCTTTCAAACCTCACTCACACACTATGGGAGGTGCTCTCTGTGGTAACCAATCATGGAAGCTCCTCCACCACCTCTGTCTAAGACAGACCAGTCACTTCGAGGAGGCAGTTGTCCCTTGACACCTTTGAAAGAGAATGATAACTGAGTGAGGTACACTATATTGCCTCACCAATCCAAATCATTGAATTCAGGTGTTCCAATCACTTCCATGACCACAGGTGTATAAAATCAAGCACCATGCAGACTGCTTCTACAAACGTGCAGTGGTGTAAATCACTGGACTCTAGAGCGGAAACGTGTTCTCTGGATTGACGAATCGATGGATGAGTCTGGCTTTGGCGGTTGCCTGGAGACCAGTACTTGCATTGTGCCAAGTGTAAAGTTTGGTGGAGGGGGGATTATGGTGTGGGTTTGGTTTTCAGGACCTGAGATCCAGTGAAAGGAAATCTTAATGCTTCAGCATACCAAGACATTTTGGATAACTCCATACTTCCAACTTTATGGAAAGAGTTTGGGATGGCCCCTTCCTGTTCCAACATACACATGTGAAGGCAGACAAGCGAATGCTTTTGGCAATATAGTGTACATCACCTGACTGCCCTACTTGTATGGCCACATGATTTGAAGCTTCATTGTTTTGTGTGTTGCCATGTTAGTGTTTTTGGAACCCAAAGGGATCAAATTTTAATGTTGAGTGCCAAGTTGTCATCTAAAGTTTGCCTAATACATTTATGATCCATTTATGCATCACTTAACACATAAAGCAGATACAGCAGGTTTTTTCCTCTTTGCAGGAATAACTGCAGAGTGTCAGCAGACTCGATCTCAGCTGCAAAACAGAGAAACGGCCATGCGCATGTTGAGAGCCAGGCTCTACCAAGGCATGATGGGTAAAGAGACTGAACAGAGGAATACAGCACGAAAGCAGCAGGTGGGTGAAGCAGGAAAACATAACCTGTAACATTCACAGATTTTTGTTCTCTTTTCCAACTTTGTCATTGTTCCTCTGTGTCTAAAAACAGGTGGGCACACGCTCTCAGTCAGAGAGAATTCGTACCTACAACTTCAGTCAGGATCGTGTCACAGACCACCGCACCGGATATACAACGAGGGACATCAAGGTTAGGTTTGAAGCCAGTGTTATCTACTTCAGCTAAAGGGTAAAAATCAATGTTGTGTGTTTTTTCATGTCTGTTTTTAGGAGTTCATGAGAGGTGGGGAGGCTCTCGATGATCTGATCTCTGATATACTTGAACACACAGAGAAGGAGGCTCTTCTCGAGGCGGCGGAGAACAGCAGCAGTTTGAAACGAACAGAGTCTGGACCGTCTGCAGACTGAGAGCAGCTTATGGGAGATGTGCTTCCTGACATATCTGACTGCTCTGTGCCTGCAGAACACATGTTATTCTATTATTTGGGCAATTAATTGCAAATGATGCAATGTAAGACAAACCAAAAGTAACAGAGGTTTTTATTTTTGTAATAAAATGTAACTTGTGTGTTTTGTGCCTTTGCAGTTTTCTAAATAACACTAAAGATTAAGGAGGGAGTAACTTGAACACCTTTAACAGGCCTATCATTACAGTTTTAGCTAATATGGGTTTTAAAACTGCTGCTTTTTAAAAATAATGAACACACTGAATCACACTTACTGGCCATTTTATTAGGCACATGTGTTCAATCAGTGTCACCGGGCAGTTACTAGACAGATTCTCTATAGGGAGATGACAAACACTCTCAATTCAAAATACCATCCCCCAAGTAGAGACCGTTTAACAAATCATTTGGTCCCTGTTTGGTATGAGGTTGAAAAGCGCAATCTGATCTCAGATCTGAAACATGTCACAAAGGCAGTCATCACAGCTGATGGATGGACAAGTTCTACTCAAGACCATTACCTCACTGTAATGTTGGTACTATGTCAGATGAGGCCAGAATAAGGAAAAAGTCCTCAAAATAAGGCAGTCTATGAATCACAGATGGGGACATCTGTGGCAGAGAAATCCTGGAGGAGTTTGGAGTAAAAGAGAAGGTTGTGGCATGCATGGATGTAGCTGTGAAAAAGGTGAAATTTATCAAGCTGCCACGTTTTGCACACACACTAAATCTTGGACGCCGAAAGCTGTACAGCTGCAATACAGTTTCCAACTGGACAGGAAGGATTCATTCTGTGATTGTATGGATGAAGAGATCCCACATGGCAAGAGTAATCCTCAAGGAGAAACAGTAACTTCTTTGTATGAATACTTTTTAAATACTTGAATAAAAGTCAGCCAAAATGTAAATCAACAGATTAGGATCAATATAAAATGATAACATCATGTTTGTGATGATGGAGAGATTCTGTCAGCAGTTTTCAGCCATCCAAACTGCAGCTGTAGACCTCTGCCTAAGAAAGCCCATCAAGAAGGAGAAGTATATAATCTTTGGGGTATATAAAAATTGGTTGCTTAAACATATTAACATTAAAATGTGTTTATTATTTTTTGTTTATATTGCAGACTTGGCAGAATTGGCAATGAGGACATGCAGAGGAGTTTCTGGTGCTGATGTTGAAGCATTACATGTCCACGCTTGCTGTGTTTAGTGAAAAAAGTCTGACCTGTGGCCAGAGACTGCCCATCCTTCTGCAGCAGAGAGTGAATCAAGAAGTCCAACTGCATAGAAGTCTTTTTCCCATTCCAATCAAGGACAGTGCCACAGTCTGGTGGTGGATGAAGAAGGACTCATTACCAATGTTATCAACTTTAGCTGAGAAGTGTCTCTGTGTCCAAGCCTTCTCCACCCCAACTGAGAGATCTTGTATCCTTTCTGAAATAGAAAACATGCAAATTTTTCGCTCAAAAACTGTTAATTTGCAAAAGTTCATAATTGCAGTTGGATTTTATGTTAAAGTGTTCATTTGACAGCTTTA